ACCACCCTTGTTATCCCTTCAGTTTTTCTTGGAGATGTTGCACCCATGGATCTTTTAGTTCCAGTCCTGGGAGTCATCCTGCGAAGTTTCAGTTATCGCTGTGAGGCCATAGTTGCCCTTGTGCACTTGGAGCTTGAGTTTGTGTTGCCTGCTTCCCATACTCTGGCATTGCTGTGGAAACATCGCCGTTCACTTGGGTGGGAACCTGGTTTTATTCCTGTGTTTTTTGGGAGACTTACTAGTGCCTGTTTGAGGTCCCCCCCGCTGTGGCAATATAACTCATCGGCAGTTGATGGTGTGTCCTGATGCACATCCCTCCCCTGTGTGATTTAGTTTAAGGCCCTCCTAATGAAATTCTTCCTGTTGTAGCCTAGGGCATCTTTCCATACTTCAAGAGAGGCAACCCACGTTCCCCAGTAGTCTTTCACCTAGGAAGCTCAGCTTGCAGTCCCAGGAACCAACTTTCTCTGTCTGGCACCCCTGTCATTCACTGGGAATAGTTTTCTTTCCCTGTCATTTCCTCTTTCCCAAACTGGTAGGATTGGGAGAAGGCCATCTGGGCCCCAGTGTTCTTATTTTCCTCCGTAGAGTGTTGAAGTCTTCAGTTATTTCCTCAATATTCCTCTTGGCTGTGTCATTCATCCCCACATGGATGAGAAGGAAGGGGCGCTCATCAGCGGGTTGTAGGAGATGTATCCATCTGCTGGTTATATCTTTGATCTTGGCTCCAGGGAGGCAGCAGACCTGATGTTTCCACAGGTTGACTCGGTATACGTATTTTTCCATCCCTCCCGGTAGGGAGCTTCTCATACCTAGTGCTTTCCTTTTTGTTGTCGCAAGCTTGGGAAGCATTTCATATGCTCGGTTCATTATTGCTGCAAGCTTGGGTCACGTCTCTCCGATTTTGTTGTCCTCTGTCTGGGTAGAGTCTCCTGTGTTCAGTTTTTCTTCAGTCTCTTTTATGGAATTTCTCAGTGTAATTAGAAGTTCCTCCATAGCCGGCTGTTCTCACATCTCTCCCTCTAGTATCTGGAAGCGGTTTGAGATTTTCAGCACTTCCTCAATTGGAGAGTGTTTTCCTTCTGTTGGGGACTGCCAGTTTTTCAGGATGCTTCAATGCCTTTTTCTTCTCCTATGGAGTTCTCAGTCTTTGATGGTTGGTGCCCCAGGATGTCTTAATTTTCCTTTCAGTTTGAGGGAGGCTAGTTGTAGCCCAGTTGCTCTTGGCTTTTCCTCTAGCAGGGCAAATTGCTTGCATTTTTGGACCAGTGGCCATTGCCACAAGCCACGGTTCCTCCTTCGAGAATCACCAGCCGCAGACCTTTTCCTTGCAAACTGTCTTTATCACTTCCAAGTGCAAACCACACAGAACAGATCTCTGTGCCTGCACAGAGTGATTTCTTGAACCCAATATCATGTTTACCTGCAAGAACCCTTCTAGGAACATGGCTGGCCCCCTCCCCCTTGGGACGGGCTGCCTGTAAGCAAGCATGGGCTTCTCATTCAGTAGGGCCTCTTGCCTCTGTGGACATCTTGCATCAAGAGCAAGTGAGGGGGCTCGCCCTGCGTCTGAGAATTCATCCTCCAAGAGCCCCCCCCCATTGGCTGTACAGCCTGATCCTTCCCGGGAACGGCCTGGCTCAGCAATGTGTCTGCCCCAACCTCCATCTTGACCTAGCCCATCCTTGACAATCCCACTGAAAACTGTTTCACTTTCTGATTCCAAAGGATTGTCTGGGAGGAAACCAGCAGAGAACGACTGCCCAAGACGGCCACCCTTCTCCCTCCCAGCAGCCATTTTGAATATTCAGCCTCCAGGATGAAGTGTGCCACGGCTGGGCACGTCATTCAGACCGGGGCAGAATGGGTTTTGAACAGAAGGCAGTTCTCTAGTGGCCTCTGAACAGTCCACTGGTTATTGGCGATGGCTCCCCCTCCAAGCCATGCAGCCTGGGTTTGGATGACAGAGCAAACTATGGCCAGCCATGCTGGGGCTGGTGATTTAAAATGGCTGCCAGCACCTGCTGCAACCCAACCATGGCATAAATCAGCCAGAATCATCTGTGGTGTGCATGGAAAACTGGTCAATATCGGCACTAGTTTCTGGGGAGCACGAGGGCTGTTGCACTCGAATGCTCCTTGTAGTCTTCTCGAAGAGTATTTGCTTGGCACCATGGGAACAGAATGGTGGACAACGTAGGCCTTTGTTCCAATCCAGGGGGGGCACTCTCACGTTCTTCTGAGCCGCATGGTTCTTCCATGTTTTCCCTTGAACAATTAGGGTTTAGATTTCATGCTCCATTTCACCCTTCCCCTCACATAGATGCCAATTTGTGCGTGAAGGTAATTTAAGGAGTTGCTGCTTTAATTGTGTGGACCACAGTTAAAGCGTGTGGACCATTATTTTCATGGATTCTGCAAGAGGAAGCCAAAGGAGAGGATAAGCACACCGTTGCATTAGGAAGGAAAGGCCCCACATCGTTTGCAATGTCCTTCCATCTGGACGCGAGAAACATCGCTTGATGTGTGCAAGAACTCATTTACAGGACTACCCTGCAATTCCGAGTTTCTCCTTCTGTGCTTGCCTAGCCAGAGATCTTGGCAATGCAGAAGGCACATAGGATAGAGAAAATAGCTCAGCAAAGCTGGGAGGGACGGTCCTACGGCTTCTCGAGCAGCAGAAGTGGTTTGACACCTGGATAGGATCTCAGCACCCAAGTCAGGAAAACGCCTCATGGAGCCGTTATTTGTGAAGCTGCTGAAACGGAGGTTAAGCCCCATCTGTTGGCTGGCACCGGCCTGCATCACTTGGCCCTACCTGGACCGGCATCCTTAAGCAGACGGTTTGCCTTCCTGCTTCCCTCTGAGGCTCTCCCCCCGCCCCGCTCCGCCTGCCTAGTTGAGACATTACTTTCTTGACAGCAAGACAGGGTGGGATTTTTCCTTTTCTTCTCCTTCGGGTTGGGGGCGGGTGTGCGCAAGCGAAGCGCCCGCCGGCCTCCCCGGCTGAATTTCCGCCTTCGCGGCTTTCCTCTCCCCGCCTCTCAATTATTTCCCCTTCACAATTAACATTCCACTAACTTGACACGTCTTCCCCTCGCTTTGGCTTTGTCAACCAGCGCCCCCCTTTCCCTATTAATTCCAGACATTAATATTTTCTTTCACGTGAGTGCCGCCGCTCACCCATGAAACAGTTTGAACATTATGTAGCTGTTAGGATACTTAGGGATTACCCAGGATGCCTTGCGCCCGTAAGTGACACCACCGAGGCTGCTTTGGAGATGTTTATTTTGAGAGTAAAATGACAAGCATGAAGCCTTGATCCCAGGGAGGCAATCTCATTTAATTAAAAGACTCTTTCATTATACTTGGCCTCCTCCCCAGACAGCCAACCCCCCCCCCCACACACACACTTGCACACGCTAGTTGTGTGTGTGTGTGGCATTTCTAAAGCTTGCTTTGCAAGGACGGCACGGTTTTGCAGGGAGGGTAGGGAGGTTGTTCCCACAGCCACGGAACGTCAACGCTGATGCGAGGAGCCGGGAACATTCCCCTCGGGAGTCGCCGTGTTGAGGAGGGGGAGGGCGCAGTCTGGGGGTTAATATTGCAGGCACTGCGCCCCTCCCTTTGCGAGGGTCTCTCTAGGTTTCTTTTCAAAGATGCGCTTTGTTGCCTGGCTCTTGTTCCATTTAAGGAGCAGATGAGTCTTGCCTCTGGACCACCTGCCCCTGTTGCATTCAAGTTTTCATTCCATGGGCTACTTTCTTTCTCGCCTTGACATCGTCTCTTTCATGGAGCTAATAGTTGAGGGAATTTTTTAATATTATGCCAGGAGGCCCTGCTTATCAGGAAGATAAAGGCACTCTCTCTTGTCTTGTGTTTCTTGTCTTCCTTCGCCCCCATTTTTTGAAAAAAGAAGGGAGAGAAGTGATTGGAATATTCAAGAAAGATTAACAAAAGGAGCCCCATTCATTTCATTTCATTTCATTTCATTTCATTTCATTTCATTTCATTTCATGTTAATGTGTTTTATATTTTAACTGATGTTTTGTAAGCCGCCCCGAGGCTTCGGCGAATGGGGCGGCATAGAAATTTGTAAATAAATAAATAAATAAATAAATAAAATTTCTGAGCACCCTACACGCGTAGGTACACACACACACACACACACACACACACGGCTAATTAGAAATACTTTGTACTCTGTGTTTATCTGGGCAACTCTGACCTTCTATGCAACACGCACCATTCAGATTCTTCCTTCTGCTACTTTTTCTTCTTCCTGGCTGCATGCTTGATAAGTGGAGATCACATTCTGAGTGGGCTGGTCACTTTCTGTGGCTGAGCCACAGAGGGAGGGAAGGATGGGGAGGGCAGATGTGGGAAAGGTTTTCTTGTTGACGATACAAGTTTCCACCCTTGCCTTTTCTTGGCAATAGTATTTGCCTGCTTATTTTCACGGGCATCCTGTATGCATCTGTACACCCTCACTGAGCTGTGTATAGGATCTCAGCCCCAAACGTGGATCCCACAAAGGACTGTGGAAAATGGGTTGGCCAAAAGGCAGCTACCCAGTTTTCAGTGGCTCCTCCCTCAGCAGATGCCTTGCTGTCCTTTTTTGAGGACTCTTGCCTTCAGTTTTGGCCTGTTTGCTCTCCAGGGACAGTAACCATGGTTGACGTCTCCCTTCTGTCCCTCACCTTTATCATTATGACCACTATGTGAAGTAGGTCAGGACTGTTCCAAAAATACGCTGTGAATTTCTGCGGTAAGCAGAGAGTAGGCAGGGTTTGAACCCTCTTCTCCTCACAGTTTACAATTCCTCCAGGACACGGCCTTCTCCTGCATAGTTTCCCAACACCCTTGGGTTTGCAACTTCCTTTGAACTGCAACTCCAAAGGCACCCAGATAAAGGCAGTTTTGAATGACTGTATTGACTTGATGGTATGTGGAATGTTTTCTGGGTAAACCAATTTCATTTTATCTCTCATTATTATAAGGTACGAGTGATCCATATGTGAAGTTTAAACTGAATGGGAAAACCCTTTACAAAAGCAAGGTCATCTCTAAGAACCTGAATCCCATCTGGGATGAAACGGTTGTGCTGCCGATACAAGCGATTGATCAGAAACTCCGAGTGAAGGCAAGTTGTTGATCAGAGCTGTCACTGTATCCCAAGAAACATTTGGGAAATTTTTGCATGTTCCTAATTGAGTGAAGACATCAGAAGAGTTGAGGCAAGGGGTGTGAGTTTTGACAAGTCGAATTTAATTTCTGCTCATTTGACATGTTGTTAATGTAGATTTGGAAGAAAGTGGCTTTCAACAGCAACCTTCCAAGGCTAAGAAATTCTCTCTTGAGATGAGATGGTTATCCTTCAAATGCACAGCATACAATCCTCTTAACCACCATGATTTTTATGAATAACATCAGCAAATTCATTTTCTTACTCCTCCAAGGAGGTCAACATACTGTTTTGATAGTTTATTCAGAGGAGCTGTTTTGTCCATAGGTAGAATTTTTATGTGCCAATATCCCATAGGTTCATGGGATGCCGTTTCCCTCAAATGTCCCTCCTCTCAGAAGGCAAGGTTTTGGCAAGGACCTGAAGCATGCAGGCCTTTAAAAGCGTTCCACAAAACAGTCTGTTGGATCAAAGATGGGATGGACCAATTATGGTCACTCTGGTCTCTAACTCATAGAGTGCATTCTTTGCATCTAGGACATCCTCACCTGGAATACTGTGTCCAGTTCTGGGCACCAAGAATTAAGAAAGATGCGGGTAAATTAGAAAGGGTCCAGCGGAGGGCAACAAAAATGCAGGGTTTGGAAATACTGCCCTGTGAGGAGAGGCTGAGAGAACCGGGCATGTTCAGCCTTGGGAAGAGAAGACTGAGCAGGGACATGATGTCCCTCTAGAAGTCCCTCAAAGGCTGTCACAAAGAGGAAGGTCAAGATCTCTTCTCACTGATTCCAGAGTGCAGGACACAGACTAATCAAGTTGCAGCAACCCAGATTCAGGCTGGACATCAGGAAGAGCTTCCTCACTGTCAGAGCAACATGACAGTAGGACCAGCTGCCTGGAGGGTTTGGAAACACTGCCTTTCATCCTGGAGGGTTTGGAAACACTGCCTTTCACCCTGAAGACATTCAAGGTGAAACTGGGCAGCCACCTGAGTGGGATGGTGTGACTTGGTGTCCTGCAACAGCAGGGGTTGGACTCGATGGCCTTCATGGCCCCTTCCAACTCTTCTATTCTATGATTCGATGATTCTATGATCCCTGACTCATTCCCCGGAATCTGCAGATGAGCAAAACCCTGTCAGAAACCCTGAAGAGCTGTCCCCAAACAATGTAGACTGTAGTGAATATTTGATGAATAGTATAAGACAGCCTCTTATATTGCCGGTGTTCTCTGGAAAGTCATCTCTATCCGCAGTTAAGAACCTTCAGGCTAGTAGCTGAGAAGAACATTAATGGAACTGTCTGTTGCTAGAGCCACTTGTTGGCATCACAGCCTTTATAAATTGGGTAAACCAAGGCCAAAAATAAACCTCCAGATGTTCGGGACTTCAGTTAACCTGCAGGGACTTAGGGGAGCAGAAGCCCAACACATCTGGAAACCTACCTTCTGTCCATTCTGGGTTTGAGCTACTGGCAGGCAAGGTCCTATCTGTTTGAAGGCGCTAAGGGCAGAATGTGCCCTTGCTTTCCAGACAAAGTGAACAGACAGGCATTTTTTAAATTGTCAAATTTTCTTATTTAGTTTGAGCACTTCCCCCATCAAGTGTTCGCAGCTTTTTTTTTCCAACCAAAAAACAAACAAAAGCCACACAGCGCTTGCTTGTGCTCTCTCGCTCTCTCCCCATCCATATATATATGGATAAATACGTTGGGGTCAGCATGGTTTTAGGGGAAAACAATGCTTACTTTGCAAAACTTCTCAAACAATATTCAACAACAAAAAGGGCAATTAAGCATTGTGTTTCACATTAATTGTAAAGGGTGACATTTCACTCCTTGTACATTTGTATGGTGAAGTCTGCGATTGCTTTCATTTCCTTCACAAACAGGGAACCGGAATGAGAACAAATTGTTCTTTGATCTGACAAGAAATTGTTTTCAGATGCTCACATTTGTGCTTCACCCACTTTTTCCTTCTCCATGTGCATCAGGTGTATGATCGAGATTTAACCTCTTCGGATTTCATGGGTTCTGCAGTCGTATCATTGGGTGAACTAGAACTGAACAGGTATACTTTCAGCTTATGGAAATCCTTGTGTCCCTTTTCATACATAATAACTATATTGATTATCGATGATAAGAGACTTGGCTGAAAACGCCCAATGTTACATCATTCTCATTTGGTTTGCTGAATCTTTTAACTTTTTCCATGTTTGCTTTCAAAAATCAACAACACGGAGGGATACATAAACCTAACAATGTGCACACTCCTGATTGATTTTAAAGCATTGTTATTGCTAAATTCAATAAGTGATCTTTAGTATAAATTATCTAAATTTAATATTTTCTTTCCCCAAGATTTCTAACTCTATAATTGGAAACGGAGAAGCAAATCATTTTATAATGATGACCTAGAATAATTGCAAGCAAATCAAATTAGAATTTTCTTCATAATATTTGTTTCTGAATTTATGGCAGCTCTACAGTATATATTAAGCTCCTAAAGTGAATGGTGCTTGTATTATAAGGTTCTGGGGTTACTTTATTAACAATAATGGGTGATAAAGAATTATATAATGTCTGAATAGCACCAATTTCACTGTTAACCAATTTTCAGATGCCCAGATTGTTACCTTCAAGAGGGAGTTAAGATGTATCTCTTTCAACAGGCTTTTCCAGAATAGTTCCTGGATTAGTTTTATTTCTTTTTCATTTTCTTAACATGAACAAAATACAAAAATAAGAAAAGTATAAATAAACTAAAATAGAATAAAGTTACCAAGGGATTTTAAACAAGTACAACCAATACATTGAAGCTCACAAATGTATCTACTTTTCTGTCATTCAGCTCTCTGTGGGTGTGCAGATTAGTTTTATTTCATATTTTTGTTTTTAGTCAAAATTTTAATTACTGTTGGTTTTAATCTCTTGTAAACCACACAGAACCTATGGGAATGGGGTAGGATGGATGGATGGACGGAAAGTGGCACTGCCGTGTGACTTCAACAGCAGTCCGCAGCCAAATATCCTCCAGTTTAGCTGTGACTCTGCTCTTCAATGGTGCCTGGTTGTAAACCAATCCATTGATTGCCGCTTCATTTTCTGCTTTCAGGACTGTCGAGAAGATTCTAAAACTTGAAGATCCAAACAGCTTAGAAGATGACATGGGTGTGATAGTACTGGACTTGAGGCTGGTTGTGAAACAGGGGGACATGAAAAGAAATGTAAGCAGACCAAGAAATGGATCTTTATTGTTCTCCTGGCAAAGCTCCTGCCACTGTTAAGGTTAGGGGAAAGGGGGCTGCATCTGTGGCAGAGCAGTGGAGGCAGATACAGCGTGTGACTTGATCTGCATTAGAACTTCCTCAAGATGGGACTCGATCACTAACTGGCCCAACCCTCTCTTTTTGTTTCCTCTCTCGGATGTTCCATGCTAAATCTCCGCAAACAGAGATGGGTGAACCGAAGAAAGTGCTCCATACCAAAGGTAACCCATGCTCCACTTCTTATGCACGATGTTTCCTGTGTAAGGTGCCATTGCTTTATGTGACTTTAATTTGTTTAATTGCTCTGCTAGGGTAAGTTCTCCAGTTTTGGGCTGCAATTGAATGGCCTGAGGTTTGGATCTTTTGGGCCTATGGTGGTCATTGGCCAGGATATCAGAAGGGGCTGCCTTCATCCATCTAATCCCGCTTGCATACTGAGCAATTCATTGGCACCCATCCGCAAATGCACTCGCCATCAGAAGTCACAGGGGAGTGTAAATGCAACCCTTCTTGTGGTGGCGCCCAATTGCTTGGAACTCCCAGCCTCGTTTCCTTTGGCAACAGTCTTGGGTCCATGGAATCACGGAAGAGTAGAGTTGCAAGGGGTCAGGAAGGCCATCGGGTCCAACCCCTGCTCCATCCAGGACTCCCAGTTAAACCATCCCTCTCAGATGGCAGCCCAGTTGCATCTTGACCATCTCCAGTGTGGGAGAGCCCACCACCTCCCGGGGCAGCTGGATCCGCTTGGGTTTTCCACTTGGTCCTAATTGCCTTGCGGCCTCCTCCACACACGGTATTGCTGCCTCTCCTCTCTCCTCTTGGTCCTTCGGCTTCCCTTGGGAGGGACCCGTGATTCCAAACGTTCACAGTTCAGGCCCTTTGAAAGCCCTTGTCCTAGTTGTTCTGTTTGTTTTTCGTCGTGTCTTTTCTCTGCACTCTAGTTTTTAAAAATCTCTTAAGATAAAAGTTGGTGTGACAGGTCACCCAGTTCCCAAGGTTTTGCCAATAAGTTCTGAGATGCTCTCCCCAACTTGTTTCATTTCCCCAAAAGAAAATTATGAGACCCCAAAGAGTGATAATGGAGTGTGTGTTGCAGAAGCAAGATTATGCCATAAAAAGAGGGGATGGGAGAAATTGGAAAAGAAAAATCACAAACCTTTTGCCTTTTTCTGTTGCTGTCACTAGAGGGTAGGAGAGGCTCAGCACACCGCCTGTGAGCAAGAGTTCAGACTCCGGAGTGATCTTTTAAGGGGGAAAAGGGAAAGGAGGGGGAAAAGGCTGCTGCGGCCACCGGAGAGGCAGTAAAGAATTTCCCAGAAAGACTACTTGGGCAACACTTGACAAAGCAGTATTTCCTAGTTTATTGATTCTGCTGCCACACTAAAACGCCAGCGTTGTACATCAATAACTATCCTTAGTTAGGAAGCGCCAGGCTGTGGAAACAGCCCGGGCTCTTCCCCACCCCCTCCCCTTTTTTGTAGTAGAACATGAAGGCTACAAAGAAAAATTGTGTGCTTGGGGAATGGAGGTGCCTTGGAGAGGCGTGGGAGGTTACGGAAGAATGGTCAGGAGGAGTGTGATGGGGCAGAAGATATGTGGATGGACTGGATTAAGAGACCAGGAGGGGATGAAAAGCAAGCTCTCTAATGGATCCATATACTTGGCGCTGCCATATTCTCTCCCCCTCAACACTCACACACGGCTCTCTTCTGGCCGGGCGTCTGAAGGAGGAAGCGCTCAATATTATGCTCTCTGTTGGGAAAGTCAGTCCCAGGTTTCATTCTGGCTCTCCCTGCTTCGGCTTTGTTTCTCTCCTGCCTGTTTTGCCAGCTTTCAGAGCGGTTTCATTTTTGGGCTGCTCTTCTGGGGTACCTCCATTTTAGAGCAGAGAGCAGTGCAAAATTCAGGGTTCAGGCCTCATAGCTGGTCGTGTCCTGGGGAGTGGATTTGCCTGAGTATCAGCACTGGCACAGCCTGCTCAGTTTTGCAAACCCAGAACACTGCAACCATCCATGGTTTTCTGGTGGTGTATTTGCCAAGCTGGCAGCCCACTCTCTCTGGCATCACAGAAAATGGCCAGCTGTGGTGAGAAGGAGTTTCTGCAAATCTGCCCAGCCTGTGGCAACGGCTTATTCTCCTCCTTGCTCATGCACCCCTCCCTGGTCAGTGGTGAAGTGGTTGAGTTGCCCAGGCCAGACCGTAGGAGCATTGGGTGGCTCCATATTTCATGAATTGTGCTTAACAGCATAACCAGGCTGGTGAGAGGCTCCACAGGCAAGAAGAAGCCCATGGGTCGGGGGTTTCGCACCTTTGCTGTAAGGTGTGGTGGTTTTTCCTATCCCCTTCCCAATTCATTCTGGGTAGTAAAACAGGTAAAGACCTGTTCTCCCCTGCAGAGGAAGGCAGGACGCGCTCCAACGGAGTGAACTCAGGGAGCCAAGGCTCCATTTGGATGCCGGGAAGCACTTCCTGACAGTCTGGACCCCGAGGGTGTGGAATGGGCTTCCACGAGAGGTTGTTGAGGCCCCATTGGTGCGGGTGTTCGAGGATAGGCTGGACGTGCACATGGTGGGCATGTCGTGAGCGGAGCTGGCTGGTGCCGGAGGTCAGACTAGATGGCCCGGGAGACCCCTTCTGACTCATTCAGTTTCTATGTTTCTATAACAGGCTGAATAAGGCCTGTCTCTCAGGCACTTATAACATGAAGAACAGTTGGTCCTTTGCACTCGGTCCTTTGCTGGAGCAGGTGTGCCTCACATAAAAGGTGGGAGGCAAGATTTCTGAAATCCTTTGCTGCTTCCTGGGCTGAGGAGCTGTGGCAGGGTAGCAGGAGACTTTCTGATGACCCCATTAGAGCATTTCATCTCAGGTTTGCTCCTGGTGGGCACATGCCTGGAACCTCTGCACCATGGGGTGCCTTTGTGCCATTGAGTCATCATGGTGCTCTCAACGGACAGAGGTCTGGTGGCCGGGCTCGCTCCGGGGAGATGGTGCCGGCTTACAGCACTTCCACCCTCAGTGTAGAAACCGAGCAGGCCAGCGCGCACCTCGGTGTCCAAACAATGGGCTGAATTGACTGAGAAGTGGCCTTGAGCTGACGTGAGGAGCCCCCTTGCGCCCCCCCTGTGTATGCGCTTGTGCATGCGCTCCATCCTGCACCCGCTCCTGGTGCTCGCTGCTCCCTTGCTTTGCCCGTCTCTCGCAATGCCTTTGGGCAGCCGTGCTCCTCTCCTCCTTGGATGTTGCAGGCAGCTGCGGCATTCTGTTGCCACGGGGTCATGAGCTGCTGCACGACACTTCGCCTGCCTTCGCCGATCCTCCTCGCCTCTTTCCCACAGGGAAAGTTCTTCTGCAGAATGGTTTCCTGCCTAATGAGAAGAGCTGGGGAAAAATGTTTTCCCTTCAATTTGTGTTGCTCCTTTGACCCATTCACGGGTCTTTCTGTTCCAGTGTCTCATCCTTTTAAGGTTAGGATTTGGAAAAAGGAAAACAAAATAGGCATCATCTTCATTTGTGTATCTTTCTGTTTATTCAGGGAGCTTCTTTGACAGGGCAGCAATGCTGAATTGGTTTACTTGGAATGCAGAACTCTGCTCATTTAAAGATTTACTATTATTGTTTTAGCCTAAAAACATGATCCCAATGTAAGACTTCTCTAAATGACATAATGAAAACCTATCTGAAGATTACATTTGTCTGTTACCCCATCCTGCCCTTTGCCAGCCAAACCCATGGGGTGTTTTGTTTAAGTCTTGCATTTTGCACAGCTTTCTCAGACACTGTCCAGTTTTCTGGGACAATGGAAATAGTAAATCAGATCTTGATCTGTGCCCGGTTCTTGCCCTGAAAGGTGTGTCTTGGAAATAGGTCCCACATAGCAAAGTGCTGATCTGATGGTCTGTACGGTGCATCCAGCGACTTCCAAACATAATGTACAAGGTGACTGCAGATCCAAGTGGAAAAATGTAGACGTTCCCACTCAGCTGGAGATCGGCAAGGATAGCAAGAGAGGCAGCCTGAGGCTGTGAGCTAGTCTGGTGGATATGCAGGACTTCACAGTAGTGATCTAAACATCCCTTGCCATCACTTCTGAGGGACGAGAGGATGCATCTTGCTTAATTTCCAAGGTGGTTTTCTTGAGATGAATGGGCCAGAATTGCCTACTAGCCAGCAATGTGGTGTGGCTGCAAAAAAGAGCAAACGCTATTTTGGGCTGCATCAACAGAAGTATTGCTTCCAAATCACATGAAGTTCTAGTTCCTCTGTTTGCCCCCAGCCTCAGTATTGTGCCCTGTTCTGGGCTCCCCGGTTTAAAAAAGATGTGGCCTAACTGGACGTGTTCCGAGGAGGGTAACAGGGATGCTTTGGGGACTGGAAACAAAGCCCTGTGAGGTGAGATAGAAAGAGATGGGCATGCTTAGTCCCAGGAACAGAAGCCTGAGGGGAGATGTGATCGCACTCTACAAGTAGTGGAAAGGTTGTTGTCACACAAGGAAGGACAGGATACCTTCCGATCATTTCCATGGAATAATGGGCTTAAGCTCCAGGAAGCCAGATCTGGCTGGACAATAGGAAAAAACTTACCAACTGTTAGAGCAGTATGATGGGGAACCACTGATCCACGGATGTTGTGGACTCCCCTGCACAGGAGGCGTTCAAGAAGCAGCTGGACCACCATCTGAGAGTGATGGTTTAACATGGAGTTCTGCGCTGAGCAGGGGTTGGACCTGATGGCTCTCTTGGCCCCTTCCATCCCTGCTATGCTATGATTCTGTCTCCACCCCAAATGTGTCTCTGGTCCTTAGGGTTTGCGCTGTGACTCGGCAACACGGCCTGGTGCCATGGATGGCAACATGACTCAGTATCGCAAGAAGGAGGATGGCCTGGAGGACACAGGCTGGTGGGAAAGGTGCGGAACGTAGGAAGCTCCCTTACGTTGAGATAGACCAGTGCTGTCTGCCCTGTGAGGGCTTGGAGCAGCTCTGCAGGAGTTTCAGCTACGGGCACTTTCCCAGCCCTACCTGGACGTGCTGCAGACTCACTGCAGCTAAGCCAAGGCCCTGAAAGGGCATGGAGGGCTTTGGAAGGTGAGCCTCTGTGCTGTGTGTGTGAGCCCAGTGGAGGGGTGGGATAGGAGTGCCGTCATAATGCCGAAATGTCCAGGGATGGGTGATCATACCATCACTTGGGATGGTGTTTAAACTTGCAAAGAAAACTCAGCTAACGGCCCTATAATCTTTTTTTTTAAATATGTGTAGTGTAAATTTATCATTAGATGTTTGTGGGTCCCTTTTTGGGGGACCCTATTGAGTGGAAAATGTAATTGAGCTCAGAGACCTCCAGAGAGGTCACCAGCATGACCTGCAAATGAGAGAGCTCCCCATAATTTAATTTTTGGGGGAAACCCACCCTCTTTTTTGCACCCCCCTTCTTGTTTCCTTTCCTCTGAGTCTCGATTTCCTGTAACAAGTTGAGTATGTCAAGGAATGATGGAACGTTAGCGGTGGGGATGTGAGTGTGGGCAGGAGGGCTGGGGGGTCTCTCTGGGAGCCGGCCGCAAACATTTCCTCTTCCTCCTGCCCACAAAAAGGAGAAAGACTAGCCAGGGGTGTGTGCGCGTCTGTCTGTGTGTGTGTGTGTGTGAGGGAGGGAGGGAGGGAGGGAGGGAGGGAGCGTGTTTTGGATCTGAGCACGGCGAGTCCCGCACATCAAACGCGGCTGCGCTGTGCACTAAAATGTTCAAAGTACGGTGGAGATAGATAAAGGGCTTTGATGGGAAGTGGATATTTCCCAGGGACATTACAAGCAATAATCCAGATGTTCCACTGTAATGCAACGAGTGTCCACGGTACAGCGGGAGCTCCCAGCCAAGTCGGGCCTGCTGTAGTCCTTGGCCTCCCTGATCTCATGCTGTCCTGCCGTATGGAAGCAATCTCCCAGCTCCTTTAATGGCCAGCCTCGGATTCCATTTTCACAGGCCTCACAGAGCTTAAGTGGGCCTGTTTTTATGGACGAGTTAGAAAGAACCCTTTCCAAGACAAACATCCAATTCAAAAAATTAGGACATACCAAGCCGCAAAATTATTTTAGGGCACATTTCACGGAAGCACAGCCGTTATTCTTCAGCTATTGGCAGATTGCAGGCTCGACCTTTGATCCTTTGCGGACATTTCTTTTCTTTTCTTTTCTGTCCCCACCCCCCAAAAAAGGGAGTAGGAGGAAAAAAAGAAAAAGAAAATGGAGTTTGAAATAGTTTGCTGCTTTTAGGGAGGAAGAGATCTGCTGGGACTTTGAAGTATGTTCATGGGAACATTCGTGCTTTAATCGTTTTGGCTTGTGAGACGAAACCTTTGAAAAAAATGGTCTGCAGCTGGATTTATGAATCAAAATCTCATTTTCTTTGTAGAAGTGGGAGTTTTTAGCCTCTGTACAAGACGAGTCAAATTGTATAGTTTAAATGAAATCCTGTGATTGTGCGGAAATCAATGGATCTGTGTGTGGCATCGCGAAGACCTGAGTGACCCGTCTCCGTGCACTCTCTGTGTGTGTCATTTTGTGACGGGGAGCTAAGCGAGTCCTCATAAAAAGGCCAGTCTCTGTTCTGCGATGCTTCCCCAGCCCACCCAATAAGGTTAGCTCTACATAGGCAGTGTAGTACAGTATTTATTATTTATTTATTTAAAGTTTTTGTATGCCGTCCAATACTAAACGTCTCTGGATGGCTAACGAAAAACAAGAAACAAAAAACAAAACAACCACATACAACAAGCAACACACAACGCAGCGCATCCAATACATAATGATAACGTCAAGGGTAAAGAGCTCAAAGGCAGGCTAGGTCTGGGAGGTCTGTGGTCAAATCCTCACATGGCCACAAAAACCCCTCGAGTCTTAGCCTGGCCTGTCTCCGAGGGCTGTGGCAAGGATAGAGAGCCAGTGTGGTGTAGTGGTTAAGAGCACAGGACTGGGACTCAGTCGATCTGGGTTCGAGTGTCCGCTCGGCCATGGAGCCAACTGGGTGACTCTGGGCCAGTCACAGACTCTCAGCTCAGCCTACCTCACAGGGTTGTTGTTGTGGGGATGAGATGGAGGAGGAGAATGATGTAAGCTGCCTTGAGCCCTTTGTAGGAAAAAGGCAAGATATAAATAAAAAATTAATAATAATAATTAATAAAAAAGGTGGTGGCCCGTTGCGTATGCCTGTGTGGACTCCTCAGGTTATGGGGTGGTTCTGAGAGACAGTAATTCAGGAATGCATGTTCCAGCACACATGGTGGGGCATTGGTCAGTTTTTGGGGGCGCATATTAATAAATGGGGCTATCAATATGTAAAGCCATATTTTCCAGGCTGCAGCATCCAGAGCATTAGCCGAGTCTGTTGGTGGATGCATGTTTCCCATCTCATCCAGCAGGCAGAGCGAGTAGGGATAACCTCTCTGCCCAATTGAGGTTGCTGATTAAAACAAGTTAAACGTGGATGCTCTGGAAACTGAGTGCTGCTTGTCTCGCTTTTTAGGCCAGCTTCATGCGAAGCACCCGGCTGGAGGATTCTTTGCGCAAAAACCAGCTGTGGAATGGCACGGTCACCATCGCGCTGCTGGAAGGGAAGAACATCCCCGCCGGGGGCATGACGCACACATTTGTTCTGTTGAAGATGGGAGAACAGAGGTGTAAGAGCAAGGTAGGTGTTCCATGATGGAAACTGTTGAAACCAGCACAAGCCCCTTGTGTGGTGTGGTGGCTCTTCGGGAAGCTTGTTTTCAGTAGATGCTCTGTGCACGGCAAGATTGAAATGCCACAGCCTGGCGGGATGGAAAGGGATTTTTCTGCAGGCCGAAGGAGGTGTAATGCAGCTCTCCAGGTTTACCTCTTTTGCCTTTCTTTTATTCCCAAAAGGCACCTGACAGCACTGTTGGTTTGCTCAGAATGGTGGGTGAGGAGTTGCCTAAGTCTTTCCCCCCGTGCCGTTCTCTTTCAGGATGTTCTTTGCTCCGTGAGGAGAAATATCCAGGTGAAGAAAACGCCTCCCTTTTCTCTTGTTGCCTCATGAAACCGTGTCTCTCTCTCTGGTAGTCCAAGTCCTGCTTCCAAAAACCAACCAACGAGTAAAATCGAATCCTCTGGGCTTTGGTTACTGATCCATTTGGGATGATACATGTTCTTGTGGGTTGGGGTTTACTCTGCACTCCGCCCTTTCTGAACCTGGGCTCCCTCCTGATGTTTTGGACTCCTGTTGCCCCATTGCTCCGTCTGTGTGGCTGGGGGATGCAAGAATCGTTGTCCACCACATCTGGAGCACTCCTAGGTTGGAGAAGGGTGTTCCAGCCGAGGGTGAAGGACAGGCTGACTGCATGGACAACTTGTCCCATGCATGCCCTTTCTAAGCTTCCATAGCAGACGGAGGCTGACATTCCGGGGCATACCACTGATTTTTTTTCACTCGACTGTAGCTTGCTGTGTAGGGTGACTTTAACACATGGGCCAGTCCTGCCCTCTGGGTATCTCCTCAGCAGGGTACCAGAGGCGGCTCTCTGCCAGTGTACCTTTGCACATGTGTTTGCCTTCAGTGCCCAAGCGTTGAATTCTCTTGTTCAGAGCATACCAAGGGCAGTGATGTTGTAAATGGCTTGCTTCTACAGATCCCTTGTTTGTAGCCCCTCCGCCCCCCCCTTTCTTGTTCTGGGTAAGCCTCAGCCTTGTTTGAGAAAAGCAAACCTTTGTAACTGCGTGTTTTCCAGACAGTCTGCAAGAGCGCAAATCCGCAGTGGAGGGAGCAGTTCGATTTTCACTACTTCTCTGACAGGATGGATGTGTTGGAGATTGAGATCTGGGGAAAGGATAACAAAAAGCATGAAGAGGTTTTGGGAACGTAAGTGCTGCTTTTTAAAAGCGCTTTGAAATGGCTTGCGCGCTAATGGTGCTGACGCAGAAAAGTGTGGATGGAGGCATTCCGCTCTCTCTCAGCGCACCTCCACAGATTTATTTCTGCCTTATCCCATTTCTGCTGCTTTGACTTTCCCCACGAATGCAGGAACTGAAGTTTGTTGCGGCTGACATTTGCATCGACATTCAGGGTCACATCTGGTACCACCTAGTGGGAAGGAAGGGATGAGGCCAGATGCCCCTTTCCAGGCATAGCTTTCAAGCTTTCCACAGTTTCCCTGAAGAGAGGAAACAGTTACTTAAATGGGGATTTTGTGGCTTGGCTTCTAGAAGTTTCAGTCTTCATGGCCCACCAGGCCATCAAGCAAGCCAGTGGTCAAGGTTGGTGAGAGTGGTAATCCAAAACATCTGGATGGATCCATGGTAGGTGAGGCTGGTTGATCCCAGCCTACCACCCCCTTCCCGTAGTCTGCAGGTCCCATAATCCCTAGACAACTGTGTAGTCCAACACATCTGAAGATCAGGGAAGACCAGTTTGTCCCATGAGTGCCTCCCCTGGGGTGTTCTGCTGGACGCACCCCCTTTCCATGACAAGCTCTGTTGCCCCAACAGCAGGAGAAGGTAAGCAATTGGTCTCTAGATGTTTTGGACTTCCACTCCTAGAATTCCTAATCCTTGGCCATGCCAGCAGAGGCTTCTAGAAGCTGACATCCAAAACATGGCCTTGTTTCTCTGCTGTCTGTGTGAACCCAGATGCTGTGTGGGTCGCCCATTCATTTTGTCCTTCCATGGTCTCCGTGGAAGCAACACAGAGGCAACAGTTCACAGGCTGAGCAGCTGAGGCTGTGATGGCTGGGGTGGGAGTCCCTCACCTTGGGGCGACCACCTTGGGGCTTCACCATAGCATCGTGATGGTGCTCCTGGTCTTTAACTCGAGCGGTTGGGTTCCTCTGCATTCCATCTGATGCTCGAGGGGTGATAAGGGAGGGGAAAGGATGGCAGCACTGTGTGGAGAAAAAGCACTGTGTAAACAATTAGACATGCAAGTCATTAAACAGCTGGATTTGCACATTAAACTCAATATGTGTTCTGCGTTTTACTGACATGTTCTCTTCTTTCTGTGCTGTTGGATTAGTTAAATTCAATTACTTATGTTTTAAGTGTACACATGTCTTTGAGGGGTTCTGCCGCCTCGGTGCAGGTGTGGCAGTGTTTGTAATTCCTTAGCAAAACTGTTCAATCAAGTTTAGGCCTGTGGGGTGAGTGATCCCAGATGGTTTAGAGAGTTAGTCACTCCATGCTGAAACCCACCGGGGCTGGAGAAAGCGGCACTTAGTTCTGCTTTTCCTGATGGCTTCAGTCAGCAGGAATGTATCAGCCACCACCCACCCAACCCGGCATTTTGACTGTCCTTCTCTCTCCCCCTCTCTTTATCTTTTGCTCCAATTATCGATCGGTCCATTGATTTTTACAGTTCAGTTTGTGAATATTTAATTTTAACATTGCCTTAGCAAACTTGTTAATTTTATGTTAATACTCATCTGACTCCGATTCCTCCCTTCTTCCTTCTTCGCATTCTTTGCATTTTTATTGTACTTGGGGGCCATCGGTATTCCGCAGGCATGGATGGCAGAATCTAACTGTTTAGAAATAGCAATAAATCGAAAAAGGCAGAGAATGGGTTCTGTGCCATGGAGCTGCATGCTAGCCGTACCATTTTGGTAAGGAGAATAGCCTCTATTAAACAGGTTGCTGATTTAAACATATTTACATCACAGTCCTATGCAACTCTACTCAGACAACTGCCCCATGAATTCACAGGACTTAATTCCTAGCAAATGTGTTTAACATTTCAGCCTTAAAATGTTAAAACTGATATCCGGGAACTACAAAGTTTGGCAGGCCCAAAGTATAAGACTAAGAAGTTACTGTAGATATTGGTATATAAAATGACCCTTGAAAGCAACAATACGAAAGCAAAACTTGGAGGTCGTCTTATATGCCAGGTGAAATTTGTCCTTAGTTTGTCTTCATTCTTCCTCCAGTCTCGCACTGTCTTCTCAGTCATGTCAAACCTTTTAGCCACATTTTCTTAACTGTCCGAAAAGCTCCATTGAACGTGCACTGTGGCAACCTAGTTTGGATGGAGCTGGTCCCACCTTACTTCCTCAGTGATCTCAAACAAGTTTCCAGGAGGGGCCATGATGATCCAGAGCACATTTTAGACATAATTCTATGCTTGTTTGGACAAAAAGAGACTCCCAGCAAGCCCATGCCTCTTGTCTGGTCAAAAGAGGAATTGTTTTTTACCATGAGTCTGCTTTGGACATAAGGACTCTTGGTGTTCTCTCTCTCTCTCTCTCTCTCTCTCTCTCTCTCTCTCTCTCCCCCCCCCCCCTTCCCTTCCTCACTCCCCACCCTCGGTAAAGTTGAATGCTCCATTTAGGAACAAACTCGCGATTCGTTTGCTTGGCATCGAGGCCTGCAAAGATATGCACGGCTGAAGCACTTCATTGCTTCAGTTTAAGGACTTGTGAAAATAACTCACTGGTGGGTGGCTGAGCCCTGCTTCATACCACTGTGTCACCAGCCCCCCTTCCCTGGAATGGATTTGGCACAGGCATTTAAGGGAGGGAGAGCTTTGTGTGCCCTCCCTTGCTCTCTAAAACCAGTGGTTTAAAAATGGAAGGTCTCTGCAGTTTATAGCGGACAGGTACCAACTACGCAGGTTCTGCAGCAGGCCAAGGGTTCAGTTCGGAGTAGGACATGCCCCATTTACTTAGAAGGAATCTACCTGGAGGACTCCTAAGATCTCTCCCTCTCTCTCTCCCTCTCTCTCTCCCTCTCTCTCTCTCTCTGTGCCTATTAAGAAAACACTTTCACAAGTTTTTGTTTAAATAAAAACCTGTCGACAGGCCTTAAGTGCCTAACAGCCTCTTCCAAATTCTCTCTCCCCTGCCTCTGTTTGGAAACCTGACACCTGCCGCATACCAGGCAGCAAAATTCTCCCCCTAAGAGTCTTTCTTTGGTCTGAAGCGGCAAATGTTTGCTCAACATTTTCTGCAAGAGCTCAAATCCACAGAGCTCCTTGAAAGCTGCGCTCCATTTACTTCCAAATAAAAGGAATTTTTACCATTTACCGGTCTTTTCACAGCTATGAATGGGAAGTTTCATCTCGTCCCTTTCCCCAATTCTTGAAAACACTTTCAAAGTGTAAAATGTTTTTGTCCCCACCCCCTCCTTTTAAAAAAAGTTCTGCATATTTTTTTCTTAATTGAAGATGTACATTGTGGGCCATTCTTTGGTTCACCACTTTTAGGGCAGCCCAAGTGTGGTTGCTTCTGGAGTGCTCACCTGGTTTTGGGACTCACTCCCTATAGAGGCTTACCTGGCAGTGAGGTTCAGCACTGCTTAAATACATAGACCCCTATTACAGTCATGTAACCAAAATGCTGGACAAGTTAGGTCTTTGGTCCAGTCCAGTGGGACCACCAGCTTGTTCTTCCTGGCGACCCCACTCACGAGCCATACTATTTTGAACGTTGTGGCTTTTCTTGTTACGTTCCATCACTTCCCCCACCGCTCACCCAAGAGTCTTGGAAGATGCTGCGGAGCGACTCTGAGCTCCTTTGACAGCGTGCGCAGGCTGAGATTCCTGAAATCATCACGCCTGCAACTTGCCACTGCTGATGCATGAAGCTGGATAGGCGTGCTGTAGTGATGTCCAAAATGCAGGTTTAAGGTGGGTCAAAATCCACAATAGAGAACCAAGGTCAATGTATATTAGTTCAGACTAGGAATGGGCAGCCAATAGCCCTCCAGCATTCCTGTCCTACAGGTTGTTGAGAAAGTTTAGCTCCCTCTTTCACAAGCCTGTATAAGGTAGCACTGTTTGCGTTTGCAAATGAATGTCGGCATTCGGCGATTGTCAACATGTTCCCTGCAAAGCATTGAAAAGCAGGTGCCCCCAGTAAGTTGCTGTGCCAGTTTAGATTCTCCTGGAATACGCTGCTTGCTGCATGGATAAGTCACTTCCCAGAATGCTCATGGGGGGAGGGGCGGATGTTCTGATTGTGCAAGGTGTGCAAGTAACGGGCAGTATGCTAGAAAGAGTACTTTGGTGCCTCCACTCCCTTTGTGCAAGGTATGCACACACCCATGTGATACAAGCACACCTTCTGAGATGGTACGGTCCTTCTGAGTGCTTTTAGTTTGCTTGCTTTAAAGATTGTAAAACAGTCCATGCATAGCACAAGGCATACGAACAACTGGTAACGCGAAAGCATGTTTTGCCGGGTGGAAATTACTCTCCCGCATTAACGTGCCCCCCTTTGGCTTCTGTTGCTTTAGGTGTAAAGTTGATGTCGGTGTGCTGCCTGGCAAGCGAGCCAACCACTTGGAGTTGCCCCTGGAGAGACAGCCAGGGTCCCTGTTGGTGGCCATCTCGGTTGTGCCCTGCTCGGGGGTTTCGATCTCTGATCTGTGTGTCTGCCCGCTGGGAGACCCCAGTGAGAAGGAACAGATTTCCCGACGCTATGTGAGCTTGGCTGTTTTCCTTTTCTTCAGGAATGTCATGGTGGGCTAGAGGGCATGGGAAGGCTCTAGAAAACAACAGCCCCCCCCCCCAAGTTGCGTGTCTGTTAATCAGGTAGCGGTGGTGAGGAGAGAACAGCACACTGAGTATCACAGCTAGTTGGAGGGATGAGGTGCTCCGCACACTTAGCTTCCCAGCCTCCTGTGAGGTTCTTAAAACAGTAAATTCCTTTGAGAGCACAAGCAAGAGATGGAAGATGGTTCTCCAAAATTCCCACAATCCTTCACGGCTCCATTTATTTTTCCTGGGTCTCCATTTGCTGTCCTGGCAATTTGACTGAGGGTGCAATCCTGGGCAAGCTGAGACAGCGGAAAAGGCCACGGATTCCCAGCGTGGCCCAGCCATCGTGGGATTGCACCCGTGACCCCCTAGGACAAGGATGGGCGAATTGTAGCCTTCTGTGAGCTGTGGGACTGCAACCTCCATCAGCCCCACCCAGCAGTGCTTGGGTTAGGGGAATTCCAGAGCCTGCACTGGAAGATGCAGCGGGAAGAGCATGTGGGAACGTGCGTAGGGCAGTGCCAGTTGAACTGCTTCCCATCGCATCGGAAAAGCGTTCCGGACATGTAGCAAGCGAGCAACCCAGAGAGAACAGTTCAGACTGGCCCGCTCCCTGCTGTGTTGTGTTTTGGTGCACAAGGTTTTGTAGCAACAGCCTGCTACAACTTGAGGAGCATTCAAATATGCAGCTGCTTTTTCTTCACCTCCCACCAAGGTGCCATTCAGGAAAGGCTGAGGCAGAAACTGTTTCCTAAGGTCCAGCATTATACCATTGTAAGAGCAAATGTAGCTGGTTCCTGATTCTCAGCCTCTTCAAGGGAGACTCCCAGTCATGGGTCATGGGGAACTTCAGGAGAAGCCCTAAGCATCACCTTCCCCGTCTGAGAACAGAGCTCTCTCGGACTTGGAGGAGGACCCCCTGTGGCTTCTCTGTCCCTTAGCCACACAGAAGCATGAGGCTCGAGAGAGACCAGCACGTGCCCAGCAGGCATGACCCACTGAAAGACCGTGCCCTGCAAGCCTTCCGAAGGCCACAGTGGGCCACAGCCCTCTGCTGGGACAACAGCTCCCCATGGGAGACCCTTCTCCCAGCACTTCCTGCAGTGTGCTCGCCAAGGTGCTGTTGTGGCCCCTGAGTTTCCCGAACAGACACAAGTACTGCTGCGCTTGTAATCTGCTTCACCAGGGCCTCCCACCTAGTCAGGTTACATCCCTGTGAAGCTTCTTTCCAAATTCATCCCTCCTCCATCGGTATTTATTTCAGGGGAATGTGGACAGCCAGTCGGACGTGTTGTGGGTGGTAAAAGGGAATATGGAAAGCATTTAGAGTTCTGTGGATGGCTGCATTGAGCCAGTGGTTGGACTAGGAAGGCTGGACTCAGCTTTCTTCCATCTCGATGGCTTGGTAGATAGAGATGTAGGAGATCTGAAGCAATGAAACCTGAAATTCCTCTTCCGGTACAAGTAGGAGTTAACACTGAGAGTTTAAAAACATGAACATGATTCTCAGTCATTTATGCAAATTGAAGGTGATTTCTAATAAAACAGATGTTAATATTCAATTATACTATCACCAGAAAATCATGAGTTTCTTGTTCATGGGTCTTAGAGTCTTGACTAGAGTGTTGAATAGGCAGTGATGTAGTTTACAATGAAAAGATTTCTTGTTTTTTATTTAATAAGCTGGTGTCCACATCCCTAGTTTTGTGAAGAATTTGTCCCTAAAAGCCAGAATATAGTTGTGTAAAATCAAAGAATTATTTGAAAAATTTTCTTCTAATAAAGATTTAATTTCCAGTGTATAAGGAATTCACTCCAGAACATAAAGGATATTGGATTCTTGCAAGTCAAACTTTTAAAAGCTGCCGATCTGCTAGCTGCAGATTTTTCAGGTATGAAATATTGCTTCTTTGAATACTATTTTTTTCAGTGTGTTCTTGTCCCCAGGGCTGGGATTAATTGGAATAGGAACTGATCTGTTCTTTTCTTTTATTACAAGAATTTTTTTTAAAGCAGAGCAAATGCTTATATAAAAATAGCAGGTCTAATAAGAAACATACATTTTCAGTTAACTGAATGTAACAGAGCTATTCTATATCCTGTACAGAGAAAAGCATGCGTGAAACTGGTAATTCCCTAATATGATCAAAAGAATAAAACAATGGATATGCAGTTTTAATGCCTCCTCCTCCACCGAGTTCCAAATGATGTGTGTTGGATGGTGGTAGTTTCTTAGAAGAAAACCCCATTTGGGGAATGTGTAGGAGAGTGATGCCCTTTGCAATGGCAGTGATCACGGTCCCTTTTCTGCCCCCATTTTCCCCAGCGAAATGCCCACACCGTGATGGGACATTTAAGCATAGCATCATTTTGGGGAGGCTTCTGTGGCCTCCAATTATTGGAAAGAGTGCCACTGCTGGTGAGTCAGGCTGTGAATTGTTGTTGAAATCCCCCCTCTCTGCAAAAGAAAGCCTTTGCCAAAACCACGTCCACTCCCATTTTGTGAATGTGGTGAAATGAGAGGGTGCATTTTGGTCCAAAGGTAAAATCCCCTTGCCTTTGTGAGCTGCAGTGAATGCAGTGCTCAGCATTTCTGCTCTGGTGCTGAGTTTCGAAACCGAGCCTACAATTCATTTTCTTGTTTCCTTCCTCTCTAGCCCACTCCCAGCAACATGAGCAGTATCCTGAGTAGCAACAGGCAAGAAAGCTCATGCAGGGATAATGCATACAAACAAGCGAATACTTTTAATGCACACAAAAATGTATATGCATTTTCTTGTGGGCTACAATAAAATTGCAATCTGCAACAGGATGGGATGAATTTAACATGGGCTGCCCGCTCCGGCAGCTGTGTCCTGTGACTGCCGGCCCACAAAAACCATCCTGGAGCAGAGCCACCCCCCCACCCGCCGCTCTCATCTCCCCTCACGCTATTCTGCTTAGTTGCTGAAGGCAGCAACACTGGGGGCGCTGGCGAGGAGGAAGAGAGAGAGGACGGGAGAGAGTGGAGAGGGAGCCACACCACGCCTGGATCAGGGCAGGGCCTCTGATGCTGGGCTATTCCTAAGGAGGACACCCCCAGGGGTGGCAGCTTGGGCAGTGGCTGAAGGGGAGTGCCAAAGGGCATTCGGTGCCCACTCTGGGCTGCTTGGGTTGAGACTTTTGGCTAGCGGACCGACTAAAAATTACTGCCCAGTGCCAGGTACAACAGTATTGTTTCCATAATGTGCCTGGAGGCTCGAGGGGAGCATGGGGGTGCACCTGTCAGTATGGTTATGGGTAGTGGGATTAACAGGTCAGTGAAGCAGAGCAGGGGTTAGACACCTTACATCTGTCCCCTCTTCTGGTTTTTTCTCCAGACAAATGATTCCTTCCAGCTGCACTGGATTGCCCTCAGGCACAGCGTTGCTTTTGCTGAAAGCCAGTTCAGTCCAAGATGGGATCTTCCTCATCCATGATCTGGTCGTGGATGAGGGGGCCGACCTGTATTGCTGGGGCCTGAGTGGCGGAGTTGGGAGGGGTGGGTGCCTGCCTAGGGACTCAGTGCAGCGCCAGTATTGCTTTGAGGGCTGGGAGAGGGTGTGTCAATATATAGGAATTCAGTCTCCTTCTCCAGGCTTCCTGTTTGTTTGGGAGCCGCTCTCTAGTGTTTGTACCTTGGGCTCGGCTCTTGAGACAGATTATGGGTTCTGCTGGTGTTCTGCCCACCCTGCTGCCCGTTGGTCTCCTTTCCTAAGTTGATGGAGGTGTTCAGGATTCGCAGAATCTTGGTCCCCAATTTCCATGCAGAGGCTGCTTTATCCGGGGCAGCTCAGGACTTCATGGCCTCCGTGGGGCTATCTCAATGTATTATTGGGCTGACACATGTCAAAGGACACACTCTGGACTTGTTTTTTCTCAGTTGGACAGGAGGTGGATGTTTTGATAGTGGATAGTGATTAGCTCCTTTGTCATGGCCACATAATTTCCAATTGAGGTTTAGCCTTTCAGCCATTTTTCCCCTCTGTAAGGGTGGCGGACCTGTTAGGACAGTCTGCCCCCAGACACGAAAGATCCTGATCATTATTGCTCTGTTGGATTTTTATTGTTTTGTATATGTTTTGACCTACACACTGCCCTTGAGGGCTATAGGTGGTCTGGAATACAATACACAAGCAAGCAAGCAAACAAGCAAGCAAAAGAATCTGGGTGAAACTGACTTTGCAAATTCAACTCTTCCTAATCCCGAGGGAATATTTTGACTAGTACTGAAGATTTAACCTGCTGAAGGGGCAAACAATCACTGTGACTAAGGTGTAGTTTGCGTGGAAAAACTCAAGCGGACAGGTAGTTTTTGGAAGGCTATGGGATGCTTGAAACAAGGGTTGCTTGGACAATTTACAATAGATACTGACAAGTTTCTCTTTGATGACCATTTTTAAAAGTATCTACCTGTGCTTCTTGCTTCCTCTTTCCAGGCAAAAGTGATCCCTTCTGTGTACTAGAACTAGGAAATGGCAGACTTCAGAGTTACACTGTTTACAAAAACCTGAATCCTGAGTGGAACCAAGCCTTCACCTTGTAAGTGGATTTGCAGCTGCAATTCATGATGCCAAGAAGCATGAGCATCTGTGGGAATTAGGCCAATGCAAAAGTTATTAGACAAGCTAGCCATTTTTAAAAGGGGTAAGGTACTTGTAGGCAAGTTTCTAAAATTAAATGTAATATTGTGCACAGGATTTATTTCCCTTAGAATAGCAAACTTTTAAAAAATAAAGTTCTGTGTCTTTTGTAGCCTTCGTGGATTTTGTCACATATATACTGCTCAGGCTGTTCGTTTTGGTGCCTTTGACCATGAACCTGCATAACATGAAGCTTGATGCAAACGAAGTTGGTTTGATTGGCCCTGGGATTATAACATAAGCAAGTTTAGTGCTGTAAATTGAGGACGGGCACCTTGTGGCCCTCCTGGGGTCTGCAACTCCCGTCAGCCTTTGGTATGCGCTCAGGAGAGTTGCTGGGTAAGGCCTTTGCAGAGCTGTGAGCCAAAACATTCGGAGGGTGGCGCGGCTTTTCTTAACTCTGCCCCATCTGTGTTTTGTGGATTCTGTGGCACCTTTTCCCCCCGTCGTTTGCTAATTGGCAGCTTATTAAAAAACCAGGATTTCCTTCCACTTGTGCTAATTTGCATCAGTGCTGAACTGCACTGGGGCAAATCACCTATGAGCAGCAGGGAGTCCACAGAAACTACCTGACTCACAAAAAAAAAAAAAAAAAAAAAAAACCAGAACAAAACAAAAAAACAGTTCGATGTGGAATCTACAGGTGGGATTCATGGAAATCTGAGGTTAGTCAGGTAGTCGCAGATTTCTCCAATATTCCTCCTCTGAAGTGATCCAGGCTTAATTAGGGACTATGTACGGTCAACTCTTTCCATGGCAGTGAACACATGCGCTCATCGTTCAACTCACCCTGAATCTCTTCCCAGCCCTGTTAAAGACATCCATGACGTTCTAGAAGTGACAGTGTTTGATGAAGATGGAGACAAACCTCCTGATTTCCTTGGAAAAGTCGCCATCCCTTTACTATCTGTAAGTTATTGTTTGCTGTGTGTATTTTTCCAGCTGTGATGGTTTCAATGTGTGATGCCCGCATCACTTTCCTCTTGTAACAACATGGACAGAAAGAAAAATTGCACTCTATATACATTTCAGTCTGTCTTTATGATGGTCCTTTCAACCATTCTGATCATTTGAGAGTGAGCGAGAGAGAAACGCAGATACAGCGTTGGTTTATTGATGCCCTAACCTGATTTCCTTTTGGAATATAATATTTTGATGTTTCCTCTTTCTTGTTGGTCTGTTTTCCTGTGTTCTGGCTGGCTGTTTTCCAAATTTCAGGGGTATTATAGCAAATCTTAAGTATTATCTCTTCTCTTTTAGGTAGGTCCTGTATTTGCTCAGGCCCATTTGTTAGTGAAGAAAGACATAGTATTTAAAGAGAATTTGCAAACTGTTTCTCACCATGGTGTGGGGGTTCCTTCTCCCCAGCGTAGCAAGTTGCGTGGTTGGTGTACAAATAGCTGATGCAAAGGGCAGGATAGTGGCCAGTCTTGGTGTTCGGTGGCTTGCCTGATGTATAGATATGCGTATGTGTGTGCGTGCAATTTCTACCTGTACCTTACTTGGTTGCATTTTTTCTTTTGCATGATAGTGGGGGAAAACCTTTGCAAATCCTTAATACTATTGTAAAGCTCTTCCTCTGGGGATGTAGTAAAATTGCCACTGATTTCTCAGGCACAAGCCAGGTCATGCCATACACAGTAGATCTTTGCTGAAAATCCAGAGTGATCCAATTACTTTCCAGAGCTCAGTTATTGAGACCAAAAGCTAGGTTAGTGAATGTGAAGAAGGCACTCACAAACTATCTGTGGATGATAGATCCATGTTTTCCTTTTATTTATGCATTTAACATTAGATCAGGCCACCTCTGAAGTTGAAACCCACCTTTTCTTTCTTCTCAGCTCAGCCAACCAGGGAAAATGATTTCCAGAATATTAGAACCAACCTTGCTGTGTTATGCAAGCTCAGCCCTCCGTTGCCTCTGGCAAACAGGTGTTAGGTTTTATAACATTGCGAAAAGTGGCAAAGCGGTTTGATAGCAGATGAGGGAAAAGGGACGTGCGGCCTGGCCTTCTTCCCCTCCCAGTTTCAGCTGCTGTTCTTGAGTTTTGTAACCAGCAAAGAATCTTTTGCCACATTTATGAGTAGCAGCTTCGTGGCAGCATAACCTTTTGTTAACATGCATATTACAAGTGCCATCCTCAGTGAAAGCTGGACTCGGGGGCAATCCTATGCGATCTGGGGAAGCATCCCAGGGAGGCTGGGATGCCCCCCAGTTGCTCCTTGCAGCCCAGAGATGGTGAGCAGAGATGGTGCTCCAGGCTCAGAAGTGATGTCAGAGAACTGTCTCCACCCGCTACCTTCTTCTACCAGGCATGGAAGGAACTGTACTGGCTGCTTCTCCAGTACCAAAAAATCAACCCCAGAGGGAGAAATGGCGCATTCTGCTGACTGGGGAAGAAGGAGACGAGAGAGACCAGGAGGTGACTTCTCACGAGCCTCCCGTAAGCCTCCAGCACCCCCCCCCCCCGATGTGCCTTCGCCTGACAGGTTGAAATCCTATCCCCTTTTGGGATGGAAGGTGTGGAAGGGAAGGACGCCTCTGCTGGTCCACGTGCCCAGCTGGCCCCAGCATTTTTGGGCACGGAGATCTCAGAAGCCTCCGAATTCGGGGCTTCCAATCAGTGAGGGCGCAATCCACAGGGCCATGCCTTGAACCTTTTAACTTTTAGAAGCTCTGTCCTCTTACAATCCTCTTTCCGTTCACCTCACTAAATACTAAAGTAATTTGGAAAGGTTCGTTTTTTCTCTGGGCACGTCAGCAAGTTTTTTAAATGTAGAGGAGTCTAGAATTACTAGAAATAAATAAATTTGCGGAAGGTAATGAGATACTTTTTGATTTCCCCTTTCAAAGAGAGATGTCACATAACTAGAACAAGTGACAGAAACATGAAAAATTTTGTCTCTCTGTGTGTGTAAAAGGTGGCATTTTTTCAGCCTTGAATTCGGGATGCTTCACATACAGTCTCCCTCTAAGCTACTCACAGAACCCTTCTTTGCAGAATCCCCAACTTCTTAGGTTGGGGGCACTCCCTTTCTCGCCACTGTTCAGAGCTTGCTTTTTTCTTTTTGAATGGCTATCAAAGCTTGCATCGTGCGGCGGACTGTTTGATGTTTACAGGGAAGGAACAACTCCTTAACATCTTTTATTCAATTTTTGATGACTCTGTTAATTTCTCCCCGAGTCCTCGTATCCCTGATGTTACTGGACGAGAGTGTTGTGAGCAGCTGGTCTCCTGGAGAGCGACTGCTTGCCAAATGGCCTCTGCACGAGGCAGCCGGCTGTGTGGGCTGACAGTGAGAAGACGTTAGGTTTTGATTTTTTCCTCTTGATTTTATAGATATTTGTCAAGCCTCCCTCGAGAATCGCATAACAGGGCAGGCAGCAGAGGCTGTGGGCAGGAAAAGCAGTTTATGTGCACTGTAAGGGAGGACCAAACTCCATTCTTCCTCGCTTCTTTGTCCAGGGTGTTAAGAACAAACAGCACTTACCTCCGGCATGGCCCGAGCATGGTCCAAGTCTGCCTCCCACCGCTTCATCCCACAGAGCCCCTTTATTTGGGTTTTGGGGGTCTAACAAATTGCAGTCAAATTGTGTTGGAAGTCTTGCTTACAATGCAAGAAAGAGAACAAAATGCAAAGTTTGTCTGGTGTTCCACTCGGCTTTACGGCTTTACGGATATAGGAAAAGTTGATTCCAGTGCATTATTTGCTCAGGATTTATGCTGTTTGTATCTCCCAAACTACATACAAATTCAGATGCAAACTGCAGTTGATGCCCATGCACACCCAAGCTCATGGACAGCAAAACAGAAACAAACAAACAAACAAAAAAAAAAGCATTTGATAGCATGCATTTGAATATGTGCATGAAAAGGGCCTACTTTTGGAAAGTGTACACAGGCAAGCATTAATCAACAGGAGGAAGTACTTTCTTCTCTGAGATTGGTCCATATATTTAGAAAAACCATATATTGGTCCATATATTTGGAATTGGTCCGTATATTTGGAAAAGCCCAAAACACAAAGCCTGTACTCACAATCCCATTGGAAGCATAACACAGAAACGTGAAGTTGGAGAAGGTTGACAAGGTCAAGCTTTGTGGGTTTGCATATCCCCAGCTCAGTGGAAGAGCAACTGTTTTGTATGCTGAGGTTCTCGAGATCAGTCTCTGGCATTTCCAGCTCAAATTATTTTCAGTAGCAGGGTTGGGACAAATCTGAATGCCCAAAGGAGCTAGGTGAGCTGATCATCTGACCTGGTTTGAGGCTGCTTCGTGCTTAAGTTGTGTTACCGAACTATCTTGTAAGATTTCTGGAAAAACAGTTGCTTCCCTGAAGGCCCCCTTTATGGATAAGAATCAATCTCAGAAGTCCACCTCCCAGCACTTAGAAATATAGAAAAAAAGCGAGTCAGAAGGGGTCTCCAGGGCCATCTAGTCTGACCCCTGGCTCCAGCCGGCTCCGCTCATGTAATCCCCAACAAGTGTTTGTCTACTGCCCCCTCTGATCTCAGCACTGACCTTGGACTGAAATCCACGTCTGTGAAGGCTGCGGTGGCAAAGCCAGCTTGACCAGGCTTGGCCCATCTGTAGAGATGTTGTTTGGCTTCTGTGCATCCAAGAATACCCTTGGCCATCCACATGACCAATCATTTACCTCCAGGCTTTGGAGCTGTGGATTTCCCTGAACCCTCTAAAGCTGTAGACTCTGACCCTTGACCTTGGTCCTGGGAGTACTGCGGGATAGGTCACTCCCAGGATGCGCCTTCCCATAGCTTGTGATAATACCCGAGGGAGGTCTGGAAGGTGGCAGTTACGGACTGGGCCTTCTCCGTTGTGTCACTCTGATTGTGGAATGCATATCCCAGAAAGCCAATCTGCCAACAACATGGCCATCTTTTCTGGTGCCAGGATTAAACTCTACTCTCAGGCATTTGATGGCATATGATGGCTCATCTTACCGTAGTAATTTTATGGAGTCTTGTCCTCAGCTGTTTGGAATTGTTTTAAATATTTTTATGTTTGAACTCCTGCTGCAGGAATCCTGCTTCTTTCTCCCTCTCCTTCCTTCCTTCCTCCTTTATTTTTTAAAACAAACGTGTCTGACAACTTTAGCAAATGCAATCAGTGGAACCTTGCTTACTATTCCGTCACATGTAGCTTGGTTCTAAGAAATTTGCTGCTCAGCTGTGATGCTTGAGCCTCGGGGGGCCACACAATTATCTGTATTTTTTAGGAATGGAAAATAGCAGCAAACATGGCGTGTGTGTATTGTGAAGTGCTGTCAAGTCCTCTGACTTAAGGTGCCCTATGAGTGAAAGCCCTCCAAAAGCTCCCGTCCATGACCGCTCCATCCAGCTCTTCCAGTTCAAGGCTGTGGCTTCCTTGATGGATTCCACCCATCTTATTTATTTATTTATTTATTTATTTATTTATTTATTTATTTATTTATTTATTTTTGGATTTATATCCTGCCTTTTTCCTACCAAGGGCTCAAGGCAGCTTACATCTCCTCCTCCATCTTCTCCCCACAACAGCAACCCTGTGAGGTAGGTTGGGCTGAGAGTCTGTGACTGGCCCAAAGTCACCCAGTTGGCTCCATGGCCGAGTGGGGACTCGAACCCAGGTCGTCTGAGTCCCAGTCTCATGCTCTTAACTACTACACCATGTTTGGTCTTCCCATTCATCTTCTGCCTTCGACTTTCCCTAACACAATTGTCTTCTCCAAGGAGTCTTGTCTTCTCCAGAGAGTCTTGCCTTCTCAGGATGTGTCTGAAGCACAACAGCCTCGATTTTTATCTGCATGTAGGGGGAGTGAATATTTTCACCCTTAAAACATTTCTACCCCTGAAGAATCTTCACACAAAAAACCATGGAAGACTATGTTGGCAGACCTTCCTCAAGCCCTTTTCTCGTGCTCAAGACTCAGTTTTTATGGAACTATTTTGTGTCGTGCCATCCCTCACAGGCTGGGGATGCGCACTGGAGCCAGGCTTGCCTCAAAAGGCTCTTAAGTGAATGCGGCAGGGTGGGGAATGAGCAGAAGTTGCAAGCCTTTCTCCTTCAGAGAGGAGAACCAGAAAACCAGCCGTGTGCTCAACAGTCCTGTCTCCCCCCGTCTCCGGCTTTGTCTATTTCATTAAAATTCTCAGGTGGTCAGAAGGGTTGCTACTTAATAGACTTAGCATTCTCCATCCATGACTCCCCTGTGTCCCTTTTCCCTGGGATGTTTTGTACAAATGCTTCAGCAAACATATCCATTAGTTCTTGGGAAATCTGCTGTGCATTTGGATGAAGTTTGACATCTTGTCAGGATGGTTAGACGGTTCCATTCAGCTGAGCTTGGAAACCTCCCTACCAATCATATTTGCCTTTTCATCTGTTCAGAAGACCTTCGCAATCCCTTGCTTCCGTCATCCTTGCGGCAGGACTCGGTCTGAGTTGTTTTTCCAGCATTGCCGGGTCTAAGAGGGGAAATGCAGGTGTAGCTCTGGTGTGGAAGGGTGGTGCTTAAGCAATGAATTATTTGGGCCAAGCTCAAGGAGGGGGATTTGAAATTCCTGCACGTGCATGCTGAACTGGAATTAGTAGTCCTCCAGAACTCCCTGATGCACCAGTCTGTAGAATGCTTCATCACAGGGTCAAGTTTTACTCCTCAGGTGGGACTGGACCACACACATTCTGCATGAAGAGAACCGAAGCTTTTATCCCTGGCATCTCTCGTGGAAAACCATTAGGTAATTGGTTCATGTATATGTCCCTCTGTCCAGAACCCTCGGTTGCCATTGCAAGTTGGCACAGACAGTGCTGGGCTAGAGGTCCAAATATTCTGACTTGTGCTCAGGATGCCGCCTCTGTAAATCCGATGAACACATCTTTAGTCGAACAACGCCTTGAGAACTCTTGGCCAAAGTAAACCAAATCTGGTCCAACCCATACTAAGTGAAGCACACAGAATCCATCCAGACCATGGAAACCAGTTAATCCAAGAAAAATTGTTCCAAAGATACTGAGTGTGACTGTTAAAATTAAATTCTTTGAATGCATTCAGTATGCGATTACAGCTGTAAAAACTAAATCTGCCTTTTGATGGATGCATTTGCCCCGGTAATCTGCCATTTTCGCAAATCAATTACATGTAAACAAATGTCGCATTGTAGCAGTTGTTCATGGTCGCACTTCTTGGTTTACTCTTGGGGAGCACAGTGCTGCTTAAAAGACTAATAGGGCCTGAAGATTTTTCAGTCCCTCAACCCACGTTTGGGCTTCCATATTCGTAAACGAAACGGGTATTTACAAAATACTGCACACCTCGGCACGCGTGAAAAAGCTGCATGTAGGAATTGTCTCTAACTTCTTCTCTCGTGTGGGGCTGTGCAATCCTGTGCATAAATAAAGGGCATTTCCATTGTCCCGTGCCATGGCTCTTTTTCTTTATTTCCTCCGACTGCAGATTACGTTCAATTTGCACATTGCCGCCGCAATATCCACTTTAAATATGGCTGCATTTCCATGCACATAAATCTCTCCTGTTATCTTTTAATCTTGGAGCATTTCATTCTCCAAAGGATTTATTTTTGTGGTAAATGGGAGCTTTTATGTTACTGCCATTCTGAATTGAGCTGATCTTCATCCTGAAAAAAACAAACAAAAACAAAAACCAAAAATAAAAAAGGAGAAAAATTGGAGAAGAAGAGCCAAATGTTTAATCAGTACTTTTCCCAGCATATATAATAAATGTGTTTTGCTGTCATGTTTTAAAACGGAGGCCACCTTTTGTGATGAGCCAAATTAATTGAGAAATGATTTCCATTTTTAAACAGGCATCAAACACATCAGGGCCAGTTGACAAATTAAGAACCTAGAAAGCACATTTAAAATTCTCAGCAAAAAGCTATTTTCGGAAATAGTCCCCTACATTTTGCTTTGCGGATTTTATTTTTCCAATTGTAATTCTCCAGATTCTGCATGGGACAAAAACTCCATTTTTTTACCATGATATTTGGTAGTAATTTTCCTTCATGGGTTATTTGGGAAGGCTTTTTTTCTTCCACCCTCTGCTGCTTGGAAGGAAAAGAGCTGTTTAAAATTGTAAATAGCAGGAGCTAATGATTTCCTGCTGGCTGAAGGGGTTCCAGGCCATGTTTTGCTTGCTGGCGGTGTTGGGTGTATTTCAGATTTGTAACAGTAAAGAATAGCATCTTCCATGTGAAGTTGGGCCCTGCTATTTTAATATCTAATATTTTTCCTAGCTGATTATGCCATTTAAGGCATTCGAAGTTCTGTCTGAGTGTTGGCTCATGCCCTGAGTTCTCCTTTACATTGGCTGCCCGAGGGGATGTTGCTGGAGAGGTTACACCAATTCAGTTTTTGGCTGGGAAGTGCCTGATTCCTAAGGTACTAGCATGAAGTGGGCAAATGTTTAGGGGGCATTGAAAATGCCTTCATTCCCATATCCACCATATATGCCATCTATTACTCAGGAATTCCTGAGCCCCACCGGATGAAACCTGCACACCAAAATAGGCATGATGTTGATTGCATGAATGAAATTCATGTGCATGTCTTTTGTTATTTATGCAGCTGCTGTGGAAAAGTCACAGCAAGTTCGGAGAGGCAATTTATGTCAAGATCATGGGGGCGGGGGGAAGGGTAAATTTCTGGTCCAGGCATGTACTTTGACCTTACAAATCCGTGTGATGCTAAAAGAGAGGTAGAGCTTTGCTCCACCCCAGCTGTCATTCAGACAGAGCAGAGTTGTTCTCTGTTGCTCCAGAGGGCAGGACCACAACCAACAGGTCCGAATTTCAGGGAAGCAGATTTGACTCAACATTAGGGGGTGCTCCCTAACAGAGCCTTCTCCAACCTGGTGTTTTCCAGATAGGTTGAACTCCCAGTATTCCCCAGTAGCCATAGGAGAAGTAGGCAAACACACTGAGAAGGCATTAGCAGTGGAGATGGGTTCCCTAAACTCTTTGGGCTGTGTGACAGACGGCATCTGGACGTGGGCTCCCTCCACTGAGACATGGAAGCAGAGACTCCACTGTAGTCTCCCAGAGGTGCCCAAGCTGCACTGGAAGCCATGGCCTCTGCAGAGAACTTCCTCTCGGTGTTTCTGCGAAAACTGGGAATGATCCACATACAGCATTAATTCTACTGCTGTTCCAGCATCTGGATAATCAAATGGATTAAGCTGGAGTTGAACTGCATAATCGCAGGCCGAAATGAGGGGCTTTCAACAGGGTGAAAGTTGTCCACCCCAACCCTTGCCTTCCTGCCCTGGATCCAGAACACCAGACAGACCTTAGCAATGGGGACCTTTATTCGCACGTCAAGCTTACAAGACAGTGCAGCACTGAAGGGCCCCTAGCAAGCGGAATAATGGTCTCAGCTCATGTAAAGAGTGCGTGAGTGCTGAACCCAAACTGGAGACTTTCCCTCAGTCCTTTCATTCAGCAGCCTCCATCCTCAGCCGCAAAAACCAGCACAAGTCCACTCAGTGGCTCCGGATGCCTCATCAGGAAGCAGACATGGCAGCCGTTCTCCCTCCTCTCTGGGGTCACCTCCCGTCTTTTCCAAAACAGCTCTACTCTCACCATCAGCCTGGGAATCTCTGGGCAAGGACTTTGGTGGAGCGTTGAAGGCTCCTCCGTCCTTGGTCCCCTGCCCTCCTATCACCTCCTCCACGGTGCCCTCCTCTTTAGAGCCCAATCATGGCGATGAGTCCTCCTGTCCCGCTCGCTGTTTGTTGTGGGACGGGGTGTTCATGTGGAGCCATGGCTACGTTCCAAAGTTCCTGCTTGCTTCCACCAGCGCTCTGCTTGTGTATTTTGCGCAGAAAGCAAAACACACCTTGTGAGCCTTTGGCATACTCTCATCCAAACGAAGCATGACCCATGCAATGTTGGACTCCAAGTCCTCTGAGCAATGGGCAGCATGTGATGATATTGTATTGAGACTTCTTTTCTCTGTTTGTTTGTTTGTTTGCTTGCTTTAATTCCAGATTAGAAATGGGCAGCAAAGTTGCTACACACTAAAGAATAAAGATCTGGAACTTCCTTTGAAAGGTGTGATTCATCTGGAGCTGGACGTCCTATTTAATCCTGTAAGTCAAATGTCTGTAGAAGAATAGGGCCGAGACAGTGAAATGTCACCAAACCGTGTGTTATGAAGTTGGTGAGTGTGCAACCAAAGTTGAGGTTGACCCATGAATCAAAAATGGACATGAAAGCTTCCCATGTCTTCCTTTTAGCTACACCAAAGGAAAGGATAAAACAGGGCGCCTGAGCCCAAGGTTCCTTGTGGCTCATTGGTTCAAAACTGACCCTGATTTATCACAATTGTTTGTTGTAGGAACATTATGTGACTGATATGAGGGAACATGCACAGATGCTAAATGACTATTTTGCCTCTGTGTTCTCCCCAAAGCAGGACGGGGGATATCCGCATAGGAGATTAGGTGAGGCTGGGGACTTAGGGGCACAGATTGGAGTCACCCCCCTTGAAGTCGAGGGGCTCCTCAGGGCATTGGACGTTACAAAGGCGCCAGGCCCTGACGGGTTACACCCGAGAGTACTTAGAGAGTTGGCAGGGGTTCTCTCACGCCCACTGGCCTCCATTTTTGAGACCTCGGGGAGAACGGGTGAAGTTCCAGATGACTGAAGGGTGGCATCAGTGGTCCCAATTTTCAAAAAGGGTAGTAGAAGGGACATGGGGAATTATAGACCGGTTAGCCTTATGTCCATTGTAGGAAAGACAATGGAAAGGCTCATAATAGAGAGAGATCTAGTGATGCTAGATAGGGAAGGGAGGCTGGTAGCCACACAACACGGCTTCCGCAAAAACAGGTCCTGCCAGAGAAACCTTGTGGAATTCTATGACAAGGTTTCGAGATGGCTAGATGGAGGGGGTGCAGTGGATGTGGTATACCTGGATTTCAGCAAGGCCTTTGACAGAGTGCCCCATGATATCCTGGTGGAGAAACTGAGGAGTTTTGGGATACACCAAAGCACTGTCCGGTGG